AAGAGAACTAGATTCTTTCAGCCCACAAAATGGAGGCATTCCCGTTTCTGAACTCGCTTCTTCAAGCAGGAGATTCTGCCAAGCATTCACTTCGATCTCCCACCTTCAACGAACACCACCTACGAGGACTAAGCTTGCATTCTTGCTCAGTTCAGCGGAATCCGACCCTATTGAGGGTCACATGTGATCAAGAACGAATACATGCAGGGCGAAAGTCCCTCCGAATTCGGTGTTTTGTGGAATAATAAATATTTCTTACAACTCATGTATGTATGTAGTTAGTAGTTAGCATGCGTAGCGACACCTTTTTATTTTCGGCGACAGGCGCTTGTCGCGAGCCACTTTACACGCCATATACCAGGGGCCTTCAAACAGTATGAACTAACTAACTTTCGCGCAGATATCATGCCTGTCTGCCGTATTTGCGGTGTGTGCCAAGAAGAGAGCGACCTCCGTCGTGTAAAGGCTAAAGATACATTGCTACTCTTGTTGTGCATTATGGCGGAGAAGGATGAACTCAGTTGTCGGATGCGCACGGGGTTTATAATGAATGCGTACGTTTACGCAAACGCATCTGTAAGACGTCATTTGAGTGAAGCAGTAAGTCATAGGGAGAAATACAGGTCTCGTTTGCATTTGTATGCGGTCACAGTTGTAGAGAAAACTTGATATCAGGCTACCTACATCGGTGATGCAGTGAGCATGATATGCAAAGTTGTTGTGAATGATCTCTTCACCGTCCCTTCTTGTGCCATTGAGGAGATCCTAGTTCGCTTAGAGCCGAACCAGCTGGCGATTGATGTAAGCATACAGTACTTTACAGTTTGTGGTCTACGGTGCAAACACATTTCCGTTCAGGCCAGTTTTAAACTAACAGCGAATCATGTGGCCATCTTCTATCGTGATTTCAGAGAAGTCAGTCAGAGCAAGTTTTCGGGGTCCAGGAAAAGGAAGACGTTGCATGTATGTAACAGTGAGCGTGTATTTAGACTTTTATAACAGGACCCACTGATATATCTCTAGAACAATGCAAAGGTTCCACACCTAGAAAAACTGCTTTTAAGATTGATGACGATGAAGTACCCGAAGAGCTGAAGGGAACACGAGCATCTGCCGTGGATATGGAACTTGCTTCTGTGGAGGAGACTGAAGATCGGATGTTGTCGCAAACATCAGAGGACTTGAATACAAGTAGAACCTCTGAGGGAGTTTGTACGCAACAGTCCCAGTCCACAGATCCACTTTCCCAATATACAAATCCATCGGATTCAACGATAGGCTCTCAGGACATCGTGGAACTGGATGAAACAGACCCTGATCTGCTGGACCGCCATTTCCTTATTAAAGGGAGCCACTTATTGAAGCTTTTCCGTTTTTGCCCATCTTGCGGCTCCAAAATATCAGAGTCGAAAAGATGTGTGCGTCTGAGGGCTGTTGGAACAGCTCCTGTCGTGGATTACATCTGCACGACTTGTTACCCGTTCGAAAAACGCTTTGAAGGACAGGAAAGGGCAGTTTCTCATCCCAAAGAGAAGTCGTTCAGAGGGAACGTCCAAGCTGTTGTTGCTGCCATAACTACGGGAACTAGATATGTGGTATGTTAGAAACATCATTTGTGCAGACGTGTTTGTTAACAGGGAAATACTGAACTATATTGAATAGGAACTGCAACGGTGGGCTGAAGAAGCTGATATTGCTCTTTTTTCAAAGAGTTTTTCTACAAAATTTTCTCAATTACTGCTCCCTGCATTGAACGAGAATACATGTGGCACCAGCAGACCGTCTTGTCGATAATTAGGGAAGAGTACAGGGTAAATCCGTGAATTCTATACATAACTGAATAAACTAGTAGATAAAGCTATATTCCAACTTATAGAAACGTGGGTCTGGCTTACATATTGCCGCAGACGGCTCATATGACAGCAGAGGCTATAGCGCAGAGATAGGAAAGGTGGTTGTCGCGGACCAGTGCACCAAACTTATAATGCACTCGGAAGTGTTAGATCGGTCCCAGTGCGGTCAGTCGTTTCTCAAAGTGTTGATACTGACCTACTTTCATTGTAATTTACTCTTTCTACAGACAACCATAGCCCGAGAATGGAGATAGAAGGACTGAGGAGAGCCCTGCACTGGTTGATCATGCAAGGCTTAGAAATAGCATCCCTCACAACAGACAGAAGCCGGAGCTTTGGTTGCGTACTGGATGAAGTAGAGCGTGTACACGGTACCGCTATTGAGCATTATTTTGATGGCTGGCATCTCGTGAAATGGCTAGGAAACGAGTTGAGAAAGGTGATTTCTAATTTTGAGTGAATTTTCAATAAGCACGAGGATTCGACGTCTTTTCAGGAGTCTCGCCGCTCAGAGTGTGGCGCTATTGGTGGATGGATTGAGAAGGTCAAGACCCACCTTTGGAAATGTATTGAACGGGGCTCCTCGGGGAAAGACATCAAGCATCGGTTTAACGGCTGCCTGATGCATGTTAGGGACGTGCATCAGTGGGAAGAAGTAGTCATACTTTCTACTGGACAGAAGTTTATTCACTTTCTTCAAAGTCGATCATCTTTAGAATGTCCACACCGGTTGCTTGACCTCTCCGCGTCCCGAACCGCTTCCCTTAGGGAGTAAAGCGTATAATGCTTTCCGTGATGTCATCTTGAAAGCACGGTTCCAAGAAGATCTGGAGAAAGTAGGGTCACATGGGGGACCTCAATATGCGAGACGAAGAACGCCCTAGATCGCCTTTACTGTCGAAAGGAGGTTTTCTAGTAAGTCAGCAATGTGTTGTTATTCCCGTTTCGCTTGATTATAAATTTATTTCAGCCCGCTGGAGACGTACAAGCTCTATATTATGCTGTCGACGCTCCATTTCAACACGCTGCGCCTCGCTGAGAGAAACGGTGGCAGAACGGTGATCAAAACGCCCGTGAAGCACGAGTGGCGAAGGAGCATCTTACGTCGTGTCTTAGACCTGAGGATGGAGATGCTGCAGAAGGGCAGCAAAGGAATTTTGGATCCTGCAGAGGTTCCACTTCACTTCCAACAGCTCGCAGAAGTGGAAGACTCTGCAGCTGATCTACAAGCCCAGGTGCTGAGAGTAGAGGGCCTTCGTAGTGGTCTGATAGAGGGTTTAGAGCTAGATATAATGGAGGATCCCGAATACACTGACGACAATAGGCTCCTCCAGATAGCTTACAACATTGTGAATTACAATACTAACACGGGCGATCCTAACACCCAATAATTGCTAGGTCAGGCTACAACGGCACCAAAGAAGCTAAAGATGGGTTCAAGTGGTTGAGTGCTTACAATGAGGATATCGTTCAGGATACACCGGTAGGAGAACGCCGTACTCACTAGTTCGATTATCGTGTTAACTTGACCCAACTGTTCTTCCGGACCAAGAATCCAACGCTGGTACTACTCTCGTAGTGAAGGTGAAAGTCTAAGAAACACATAATCAGTTATGTACTGCAATGAATGCGAAGAGGTACTACGCACTTTACAGGTACTACACACCTTTTCTCGTGCTCTTCGTCACTTCTTTGGCGAAATTGTAGCTCATACAGGCAGCACAGCGTTGTATTGCAACTAACACCTTCGCTGTATTGTGTCGTCACTAACAACAACGTCACTTTTTAGCTCATTCTAACAACGCTGACCAGCGTCTAGTAAG